GGATAACAGTTGGCTTAAGTGGGATTCAAAGTTAGTGTTCCCTATTATCAAACTGATTGCAAATATTCTCAGAAGGCCTAAGAGCCCTAATTTGCCAGCACTTGCTCTAAAATACTGAGCCAAATTTGTTGTAGCAGAAACTAGTTGAGACACCCACATTATTATGTTATAGTCTTTATTCTTTCTGTCCATTCAATCTGTCTCCTACAGATGTTTTGTTCTCTCTCTCTTTCTTGCCTAACTGCACCCTGAGAATGATTGCCCTCTCACTAAAGTTGTACTAAGCACATGATGTCTAGAAAGCACCTGATGTCAAGAAAATGCTTCTGTCCTTTGTGAGCATTCTTCATTCCAGAAAGGAGGTCATACAACGATAACCTTAAGGACCATCAGCATCAGTTCTAGAACCACCTGACGCCAGCCCTAATGATCTTAATTCATGTCTCCAGGAGGAAAGAAGAATGTAAGAGGACATCAGCCCTGATCCTTATCTACAGCCCTATTTTCCACTCTGAAACTGTAAGACCCCTTGCCATCCCTCAGGAAAGGGACAGTCTAGACAGCGTTAGCCTGTTGTGGCCCCCTTTGCCTGGCAAAGTACTGGGTTGCCCAAAAGGCCCTTTGGGTTCTGTAACATCTCATGGGAAAGCCCAAATGAACCTCTTGGCCAACCCAATAACAAAGCTACTCTTTGCTCCTCCTCTAAAGCTCTGTCTTCACATTTCTATTTGGCACCAGTGAACAGAGGCCAAGTTTTCAGCAACAAAAGAACATCACTTTATAGTTTGTTATTAAAAAGACATTTCTCCTTTTTTCATAAAACTGTAAATCTTTGAAGACAGATACTCAAAGTCAGCCAGATCGTTATAGGGGAAAGAACACTGGACTCTGAGTCAAAAACTTAAGTCTTTACTCCCACTTATTATATGACCTTGGGCAAACCATTTAACTTGCACACTCCCCCACCCCCCCACCCGACCCCCACAACCCCTATATCCTACAGTGCTTTCAGAATAATGCAAACACAAGAGTATTTTTCTCCCGTAGATGAAATTGCTGAGAGATCCTTAGGGAAGGGACTGCCTCCTAATGTTTGTATCATCAGCTTACTTTAAAGGTATTTGGTGCAGAAAAGGTGAATGCGTGTTTTGAAGTTCATCAATGTTAACATTAACACATCACCTAGAAGATTTCATTTCAACATCCAATATTATTTAAAAATTGCTGAGTTTTTTCCCACTACACAAAATCATTAATTACTCATTTATAATCTGACAAACTTTTCAGATCATACACAGTTCAGCTATAAAACAGTTATTAGGGATCATCACTTGGTGATTTTAAATTAATATTCTTTTAAATGTTACCAATATCACCTAATAAAGTTTGGTTACCATTTAATTAGAAAAATATACTATAGGGAGTGAATTTAAGAGTTAGGTCCACACGTACTGACAGGGAATCCAAACATTCCTTTTGTCACAGGCCCCACAAATAAAGAGTTTCCTGGTCAAATAAGTGTGGGCAATGCTGCATACTATATCTCTTTGGAGTTGCACAATGTACATTAGTATATTAAAGGCTCCGAGGGGTCCTATAGTATAATCTCTCCTCTAATCCAGCATTTCCCAGATTTATCTACCCATGAAGTCCTTTTTCACCTAATAACTATTATTCTACAGACCTAGACTTAAAAGTTAGACTATTTATGGAATAGAAGTATCTGAACATCTCAGACCTTCCTATTTGAAGGTCAGACTAAAGTGTCTGACTTTAACCCCTTTACTTTCAATTTCAACTTTGCTCTCTGAAAAAGTTTTGAATTTGAATTTTAATTTTCTAGCTGTTCCTATTTACTGCATGTTTCTCTTTCAATAACAGCCCTAGCAGCAAGGACACATCCCTCTCATGATGGCTACTGCTCAAATGTCCGCTGAGAGGAAGTTCTGTCTCCTTAAGCCAATCCTGCTTCTCTTCTGAGGCAGTTACAGGAAACGCAAGCAACCAACAAACGTCAACCATGATAAGTAAGTTCACCCTTTCTCAGGCCATGCAATACAAGTAGCTCTTCTTCACTAACAACAGTCATCATGATATTCCATAGGATTAAGACTAATAGCTGAATTATCTACTTCACTGTAAAATTAAGATCAACTGAAACAATGTATGTGAAAGTGCTTTATAACTCTAATCTTCATTACAAACAAGTAACAACAAATAATAATTTAATTTCACAGAGGCCTTGCAATGACTTTTAATTACTAATGATAATGTTGTATGTAACTTTTCTTTTTGCCAAGAATCACGTTAACTGCTTTCATATTAGTTACGATTTAATTGCTCTTTTTCCCATTAATCCCCAGCTTATTACTTTCATTTCAGTTTCTAATTTGCTTACTCTAATACTATAAAAAGCCTCTGGTGACTCTGAAATGTTGTTGCACACAGCTGAATTGATTCATTTAAACATTTGTTAGCATGATCTTCACTTCCTAAACACATTTAAACCCCCTTTAAAGAGTTTGCTGTTGGAGATCTGCTTGCTGCAAAACTGACTTCCAAAGAATAGTTTCTCATCTCACTCCACCCTGCCCCACCCTCCCCGCTCTCAAAAAAAAAGAAAATAGTTTCTCCATAACTCACTCCACTCAAGAATAACTTGAAACAAGAGGTGCTCACTTTGGGACATGCTAAGACTTATCTAAGTGAAGATAGTAGACAGTAGGCTATAAGGGTCTGAATCACAAGAGAAGAGATCTAAGCTATAGATAGATTTGGAAGTCATAAGTATTAAAGCAGTGAAAGTAGAAGAGAAAGAGGGCTCAGAAACATTAATATTTAAAAGATAAACTAAAAGAGGAGGAGGATTAAAAAGAAACTATAGGCCACACCAGGTGGCACAGTGGTAAGAATCTGCCTGTCAAAGCAGGGGACACGGGTTGGATCCCAGGTCTGGGAAGATTCCACACATCCCAGAGCAACTAAGCCTGTGCATCAAGGCTACTGAGCCTGCGCTCTGGAGCCGGCATGCCCTAGAACCCACAGGTGGCAACTAGTGATCCTGAGCACCGCAACTCCTGAGGCCTGTGTGCCTGGAACCTATGCTCTACAATAAGAGAAGCCACAGTAATGAGAAGCCCCTGCTCGCTCCAACTAGAGAAAGCTGATGCAAAGCAAAGAAGACCCAACACAGCCAAAAAACAAACCAAAACAAAAAACTATAGCTAGAGCAGTGGTGTCCAACAAGACTTCCTACAGTGATGAAAATCTTCTATATCTGCACTTTCTAATACAATAGCCACCAGTCACATGTGACTATTGAGCACTTAAATGTGGCCAGTGTGACTGAAAACCTGAAAAAAACCCCGAAAACCTAAAAATTTTTTAATTTTTAAGAAAATATTAATTTAAACTCAAATAGTCACATGTCGCTACTGTGTTGGGCAGTGAAGGGCCACAGAGTAGATGGAAAATAAGATGAACTCATGGAAATCATAGAAAGAATTTTAAACAGTGGGAATGAGCAATAGCATGAAATGCTCTACAAAGGACAAGCAAAGCAGGACTAATAAGTTAACTACTGTAGTTAGCAAGTATTCTGAGTTGAATTGTGTCCCACCCCAAATATTCATAATGTTGTCCCTACCTCAGAATGTGACCTTATTTGGAAATAGAGTCTTTGCAGATGTAGTTAGTTAAGATGAGATCATATTGGAGTAGTGTACATTTCTAATCCAATATGACTGATGTCCTTATAAAAAAGGATAAATTTGGACACAGAGACACACACACACAGGGAAAAGGCCACATGAACAAAAATGCAGAGATCATGGTGATGTGTCTATAAGACATGAACTACACGAAATTCCCAGCAAGCCACCAGAAACTAGGAGAGAGACCTGGAACAGATCCTTCTCTACTGCCTACAGAGGTAGCATGGCTCTGCCAACACACTCATCTTGGACTTTGTTGCTGTTGATGCTTAGTCACTAAATCATGTCCAACTCTTTGGTGACCCCACAGATTGTAGCCCACCAGGCTCCTCTGTCCACGGGATTCTCCAGGAAAGAATATGTGTGGGTTGCCTTTTCCCACTCCAGGGGAATCTTTTCAACCCAGGGATCAAACCTGAGTCTCCTGCACTGGCAGGCAGATTCTCTACCACTGAGCCATCAGAGAAGCCCATGATCTTGGACTGTGCTGTGCTGTGCTTAGTCACTCAGTTGTGTCCGACTTTTTGCGGCCCCATGGACTGTAGCCCACCAGGCTCCTCTGTCCATGGGGATTCTCCAGGCAAGAATACTAGAGTGGGTTGCCATGCCCTCCTTCAGGGGATCTTCCCAACCCAGGGATCGAACCCAGGTCTCCTGCATTGTGGGCAGATTCTTCACCGTCTGAGCCACCAGGGAAACATGAGAATACTGGAATGAGTAGCCTATCCCTTCTCCAGGGGATCTTCCCAACCCAGGAATCAAACTGGGGTCTCCTGCATTGCAGGCGATTCTTTACCAGCTGAGCTACCAGGGAAGCCCGGATCTTGGACTACTAGACTCCAATATTGTGAGACAATAAATTTCTGTTGTTTAAGTCACCAGTTTGTGATACTTTCTTTCAGTAGCCCTAACCAATGCAGTAAGAAAAAGGTATTCTATATCTGCCAGTTGTTTGTCTATCTACCTAAATATTTAAAAAGGTATGCTCTTATTTACTTAAATCTTGATCTTCTAGTGGACAGAGAAAATAGCTGTAAAAATTTGCTCTCACTGCTGTTTAACACCAGTAGCCATCTAGTAAATACTACCAAACAATGTTAATATTTAGACATATATCTGAAGTGCTGAAGTGTAAACACTGTATTAAAAAACAAGCATGAAGAGATAATGAAGCACAGATGATTCCCAAGGGCTCTTTGGGGTTTGGTTCCCTGGCTCAAACATTCCTTCATCTTATCATCATAAATTTCATGTTTTAAAAACAATTATCACAAAAAGAATACTTACCTTTGGTTTCTAAGCTTTCAAGAGTAGTCATTGTTTTTCACCAATGAAAATGTACTCCAAGACTTCTACTGAAAAACCTAAAAATGTATAAAATGAAAGAATTAAAACAGTATCATATAAATATATTCACCAAGTCCCTGTAATTTTAATATTATGATATTCTACTTGCTTCTGAATTTAGTAAACTTGCATTTGAAGTGCCCCTTAAAGCCCCTTTTCACAGGGTAATATAGTTATGGCTACCAAATATCTTAAAAAAATTAGGGGTGGCTTACTTTCAAATTTCACTGTATACTCTAAATTACCACCAGTAGACTCTAAATTATCAGATGTGTGTCCTTAAATTTAGTTCAGAAATAGTACTGTAGTTAATAAGGGGCTTTTGTATCACTGATGGACATCAGGAAATTAAAAGCAGTTAAACTAATTAAGTCCTCACGAGACATCATTGGCACTATTTTGTTCACTAAATCCTGCAGAAGGGAATGGCAGTATTCTTGCCTGGAGAATTTCATGGACAGAAGAGTCTGCGGGCTACAGTCCATAGGATCGCAAAGAGTTGGACACGACTAACAACTTAGTTGTTAGTGTTAGAGCTTAGTGTTAGTGTTAGTTGTTAGAGCTTCTAACACCACCACCACCACCCACTGTTCATTAAATACATCATAGAGGAGCTTCTCTTCAGATGTCTGACAAGCGACAAAAAAAATTCATAACAATTTGCACTTCTTGGTAATAAAATTAAAATGGCATAATATATGTTTTCAGAAATGTATGGATGGCCTTAAAGGCGGTACAAGCCTTTCTGTAACAACAGGCAACCTTTCCCTAAATCCAAAGCGGCTCAACACCAAAACTTCAACTCGTACCGCCGCCCCTTTCCAAAATCCCCTCTTAGTTACACAGGTCCGTTCTGGGACTTACCTCTCAGATTCTTACTCTTCCTATTGCAGGGGGCCTCACTTTACAGATTCTTCGTCCAGATCTCACTGGTTTAACGTCAGGCACTCCTCTAGCATTCCGAAGCCGATCCGCCCAGGCCTTGGTGACATCAAGCTTCTGGTTCACAAATAATCACTTCCGATTACTCAGGGTTTCGTTTCCGGAAAATTTCCCAAAAAAATGTCAACTCACTCTGCGATGCATTTAAACTTAAGCAACATAGAACATCTGGTGTAAGACTTCAGTAAGTGAAAACTGGATAAACTCCTATTTAAAAAATGTAGATTATTTGGACCTTAACCACGTAGTAGCTTCAACTTCCGGTCACCTGTCAACCAAACGGAAGTGACGATAGGGGAAAGAGGTAGGAGTGTTCCGTCACCCTAGGCGACGGAGTGAAGGGGCAGTACTGTCGACCGAGTGGGCGGAGGTGCGTTTACTCTTAGCCAATAGGGACGAAGGGGCGGGCCACTGGCGGCCCGGCTGGAGTCCGGCGGTAGGCGGGGCTTTGTTGCCGGAGTAACCCGGCGTTGGTGTCGGTTCCTTCCTGTTGCAAAGATACCTGTTTCCTTGTGCTAAGATCCTGAGGCTATGGTGAGTGCTAGGCGAGGCCAGAAGAAAGGCTCCGGGGTCGTGTTTACATCGCATCCAAAGTCCTGGGGCACCTGGGCCCTGAGAGGAGTTCGCGTCCCTTCTCTCTTCACCTCCGTTTCCTCTTTCTCCCTTTCCATGCGCCGTCCCTGCAGTTTTCTTGTTTGTTCTGTTTTTTGTAGCACCATGAATCCCACGTTTGTACTGCTAAGCCTCAAGAGTAATGTGACAGAAAGTTTAGGGGTAAGATACCGAATCTAACAGTTTGAGGTGAAACTTTGTTTTTAACAGACGTGTAAAATGTTTTTGTTTTTAATCATTTCTTCCCCCCAAGCTCTCAGCTTCACGTTAACGCGCTTCATTTAACACTGTGTTGTGGTGTGTCTGTTACTTTCTCGTTGGCTCGGGTGTGTGTGTGTGCGCTTAGTCGTGTCTGACTGTGTGTGTGTGTGTGCTCAGTCCTGTCCGACTCTTCAGTGACCCCAAGGACTGTAGCCCGCCAGGCTCCGCTGTCCATGGGATTTCCCAGGCAAGAATACTGGATCTGGGTTGCTATTTCCTTTTCTAGGGGATCTTACCCACCCAGGGATCGAGTCCATGTCTCTGGAGTCTCTTGCATTGGCAGGCAGGTTCTTTTAGCAGTAGTGCAACCTGGGAAGCCCTACTTTCTCATTACTGATCTAAATATCCTTATATTCTGAAGTCTTTGCTTTCTTGAGTGGTCAACCACTGTCGCATACCTTGTCTAAGGGCCATTTAGTAATAGCTGTATTTTGCATTAGTTCTCTTCTAGCCAGTTGATTACCTTCTAGTTCTGTGCTTTTTAACAAGAATGCCCCTCAAGATCACTTGAAGATCATTTATAGAAAATCGACTTCCTAGAGCTTCACCCCTAGAAATTGTGAATAAATAGGAATGGGGCTCCATATTTGAATTTTTAAAAGCCTATAGATGATTTTAATTCAGTCACATGTTTGAAAACACCAGGGTTCTAGTGTATTCACTTAATCGCCAAATATTTTAAACATTTACAAATAAGGAACTGGAGGATAGAAGGATGTCCGTTGTCAGATGAATTTAGTTATGAACTTAACATCGGAGACTCTCCCACTTACCCTTCTTTCTCCACTACTACTCAGCAACCCATTTTATTACCCCAGTCTGTCCCTGCCCTCCTCCTTCCGAGCCCTTTGCAAACCTTCACTTTTAAAAACCCTGTCCCTTTCCCTCCATCTGGTTGTTCATTCCAACCAGATGACAGAGTCTAACGGTCAATTTCTTTAACCCCAAGCCTCCAACCTATATATTGATATTTCTTTTTACCCATCATTGGGTCTTTTGTTTCTAGTTTATAGAAACAGGTGTTGAAGGATAATGCTTTCAGTTTTGCTCTAAATCTTATTCCCTTCCACTCCTTACAGGCCATTTTGCTTTGGATTATCGTTCTTCTTTCCTGTACTTTCAGCCTCTTCCTCTCCATTTCCTTCTCCTCAGTGTCTGAGTCATACAGCTCAAGAAAATGAAATAAAGCCCATTCTCCATCTTGTGTTTTCTATTCCTCCCACCTATCAGTAAACTGCTGGAAAGCATAGTGCTTCCATTTTTAGCAAATTCTGCTTGTTCACTTGCATCCTCAAAACTCTGTTTTCTGAATTCCTCTCTAACAGCTTCGTGAAGTTGTTGTTCAGTCACTAAGTCCTCTCTGACTCTGCGACCCCATGGGCTGCAGCATGCCAGGCTTCCTTGTCCTTCACTGTCTACCTGAGTTTACTCAAACTCATGTTTATTGAGTCAATGATGCCATTCGATCATCTCATCCTCTGTCACACCCTCTTCTCCTGCTACCCTTAATCTTTCCCAGCATGAGGGTCTTTTCCAGTGGGTTGGCTCTTTGCATCAGGTGGCCAAAGTATTGGAGCTTCAGCTTCAGTACCAGTCTTTCCAATGAATATTCAGGACTGATTTCCCTTAGGATTGATTGGTCTGATCTTGCAGTCCAAGGGATTCTCAAGAGTCTTCTCCAGCACCACAGTTCAAAAGCATTAATTCTTCGACATTCAGCCTTCTTTATGGTTCAACTCTCACATTTATACATGACTACTGGAAAAACTATAGCTTTGACTATTTGAACCTTCGTTAGCAAAATGATGCTTCTGCTTCTTAATATGTTGTCTAGGTTTGTTATAGCTTTTCTTCAAAGGACCAAGCATGTTTTAATTCCATGGCTGTAATCCTCTGTAGTATTTAATCCTCTGTAGTGATTTTGGAGCCCAAGAAAATAAAATCTGCCACTTTTTCCATTTTTTCCCCATCTATTTGCCATGAAGGGGATGGGACTGGATGCCACAATCTTAGTTTTTGAATGTTGAATTTTACGCCAACTTTTTCACTCTCCTCTTTCACCTTCATCAAGAGTCTCTTTGTTCCTCATTGCTTTCTGCCACTAGGGTGGTATCATCTGCCTATATGAGGTTGTTGATATCATGAAGTTGTTCTTGCTTAAATTTTGAATGGCCTTTTAAGTGCCAGATCCAGTAATTTCTCCTCAAAATTTATTTTATTTAACTTTTCTGTGACAGCTGAGGTGTGTGCTCAGACACTCAGTTGTGTCCAGCTCTTTGCACCCGTATGGGCTCAGTAGCCCGCCAGACTACTCTGTCCATGGGATTTCCCAGGCAAGAATACTGGAGTGGGTTGCCATTTCCTTTTCCAGCGAATATTCCTGACCCAGGGATTGAACCCGCGTCTCCTGCATTACAGTTGAATTCTTAATCATTGAGCCACCAGGGAAGCCTGTACAGTGGCATAAGGAGATGGAAAGTGACATTTGCAAAATACTGTTTTTGGTGCCTACCATTCAGATTTTTCAACAACCCTAAGAGCAGTGAACTCCTCCCTGCACCCTCTGTGTTGGCTGGAGGTGTGTGTGGTAGCTCTTTCAGATTGGGTGGTCAGTGAAGGCTCCTCTGAGGAAGTGACTTTTGTCTTGAAGTCTGAATATTAAGGCGCAGTGATCTGAGGGAAGATTCTAGACTGTACCAACAATAAGATCAAAAGAGCTTTGAGCTCTGACCTTAAGGTTTAATGTGAACAAACAATAGAGATTACATTGTGAAGTGGTGTGGGGGGAGTACAATAGAGAATAGCATGAGATGCCAGTAGAGAGGTAGGCAAAGGGTAAACCACAAGAACATAGTTTAGCAGTGTTGTGCAAACTATAGTTGTAACCCATTATTGGGTCATGAAATTAATTCGTGGTATGTAGCCAACATTAAAAAAGAAGACACATGAAGTAGACTTTTACTGTATTCATTGCAAGTAAGGGTTGCTTTCATGAAACTTAAAAAAAAATTATATGTGTGTTGTGTGTACTGGATTATGATATAGAATATATTTCTTACTGTGCATCATGATCCACAGAGTTCAAGATATAATATACTTTGAGCAATACACACTACAAATGGCAAAATAGTTGAAATCTCAAGGGACATAGATCTTTTCTTCCTCCATTGACCTAGTGACAATCTTATTGTGTGGCAGGAAAAACTGAATTTAGTGAAAGCGTAAAATTGACTGGAGTAGAGTTTTCAAGTTTCTGCATCCAATTTGCTGTCAGTCCTTTCTGAGAAAGAGTAGGCCTTTAGAAAAAGAAACAGATGTCGTTTCTCTGTTCAGTCTGGCCATAGGCATCTGTACTCTATCAAAGCTGATGGTTTCTATAAGCAGCTGAGGATGCAGCTTGTTTCCTGGTGTGGCTTCCTGGTCATTGCAATTAAATTATCTGCATCTGGTTTGTTACTGTTGTAGCTTCTAGTAGCAGAATTGGGTTCAGGTTTCAGATTTTAGAACCATGTTTATCTTGTGAAGCAGAGATAGGCAACTGTAGTTAAGGTTGTCTCACACACATGCAGTTTAAGATAAGATAAAGAATATAGTAGAGTCATCTATTTACTTTTGTGTATACAGAGAATAGAGAAGATAATTCCAAATATTACCCATTTGTACTCTACAAGCAGTGTGCCATGGGCTTCCGTGGTGGCTCAGATGGTAAAGAGCCTGCATGCGGTGCAGCAGACCCAGGTTTGATCTCTGGGTTGGGAAGATCCCCTGGAGAAAGGAATGGCTACCCACTGCAGTATTCTTGTCTGGAGAATTCCGTGGACAGAGGAGCCTGGAGGGCTGCAGTCCATGGGGTTGTAAAGAGTCAGACACTACTGAGCAACTAACACACACACAGCAGTGTGCCAGTGTTATCTATTTCTCTTAACCTCTAACTTGATATAATACAAAGGCATGCTTTGTGGTGTTACTGTTCAATTCTGTGGATAATAAATTTTTTCCTTTATATATTAAATTGCATCTTCCTCAGTTACTATTACAGATTCGTTTTCCTAAGGAAATAGTAAAAAGTCAGGCTAAAGGAAGGGGATGGGAGATGGCAGATACAATTCTTGAAGCCAGTTTTATAGCTCTCATGTACTTTGGGGCTTCCCTGGTGGCTCAGTGGTAAAGAATCCCCCTGCAGTGCAGAAGACGTGGAGATAGGAGTTCCATCCTTGGGTCAGGAAGATCCCCTAGAGTAGGAAATGGCAACGGATTCCAGTATTCTTGCCTGGGAAGTCCCATGGACAGAGGGGCCTTGTGGGTTACAGTCCATGGGGTTGTGAAAGAGTCAGACACAACTTTGGAACTAAACAACAACAAACTTTTGGGAAAGAGAGCTAAGCACGAATGATATGTATTTAGCAAGTATTAGATCTTGAGATCCATCAATTTCTGTCCAACTTAAATGGATTAGCTGGGAACATTTACTTTTATTACTGGTGGTCTTGAAATTTTACTATGCAATGATTTGATTGTGAAAGTATATAGGAACCCTTTTCAGGCCTAATCTGTTTCTTGCTACAGAGGCTCAAATTTAGGGCTTTGGAAAAATGGGAAATCCCTCCATCTAGTGGCAAGTACGGGTCTGTCATTTATATTAAACCATCTTGCTCTTTAAGTAGTTTATTGAGTATTACTGTGTGTACCCAAATCTCTTAAAGGTGAATATTTGTACATCTTAGATATTTGAGTATTTTTAATAATTAAATAATTAAAAATTTAATCTCCAAAGGGAGAATGGATCCTATAATAACATGCTCAATTTTCCTCAGTGCATGCTTGAGAAGTTGCTTTAATTGTGTCTGATTCTTTGTGATGCTATAGACCATAGCCCGCCAGGCTCCTCTGTCCATGGGATT